TGAAGATAATCACCATAACAGTGAACTGATATTCTTGCAGATATTAACTACAGACATTAATCGGATTTACTCATTGAAATTGATATTTCAGGTGGAAGTTAAAAAGGCAGAAAGGTTTTTTTCATTCCCCGACTGAACAGAGAGAAGTTGAGTGAGTTAAGTTTCTAATATTGACTGCCAAGATCACCCACATCGTATTTAGACTGTTTTTGGTTTTTTTTTTTTGGCTGCGCGGCATGGGGATACTAGTCCCCCCTCCCAGCCCCAGGGATCCAACCCACACCACCTGCTATGGAAGCTCAGAGTCCCAACCACTAGACCACCAGGGCAGTCCCACCCACATTGTATTTAAATTAGTGTTTAAAGGAGTAGGTGATGAGATGTTGGAAATTTAGAGCCTACCTTGAACCTGCTGGATCAGAATATCCAGTAAAGGAGCCCAGGAATGTTCCTGTTTTACAAGCAGGGTCTCTTTGCTCTTTCCCAATGCTGTCCCTTCTTGGGGTCTTTGCCCTTGCTGTTCCATCCATCTGTTGGGAACACTTTCCCTGACAGCTGCATGCAGGGCCACAGGTACGTGCAGATGTGGGACCTGTGTAGTCACATAGGCCCCATGTCGAGAAGAGCCCTGCACTTAATGCTCTGCTGTTACTGTTGACATTTTAAATAATTTGTGAACAAATGCCCCACATTTTCACTTTTCTCTGGGACCTACAAATCACGTAGCTGATATTGGCTGTGTGACTTGCTCCCTCACTGCCTTCAAGTCTGCAAAATGTCTCCTCCCTGAGGCCTTCCTGACCACTCCATGTCATACTGCAACCCTCCCTCATCCCAGTGCCCCTCCCCCCTTTCCTGTTTTGTTTTCTCAACAGTGTTTATCATTCATCTGATTTTTCTTTCCTCTTTTTTCCCAGCTTCTACCTTTCTGGTGATACCTTAGTGAATAAATAAAAATCCATGCCCTCATGGAGCTTATATTTTAGTCAGTGGAGACAGTTAGTAAGTAAACAAAATATGTTATATATCAGGTGTTGATAAGCAAAATGAAAAAAAAATTAATCAGGGAAAGGAGACAGGGCTGCTGGAGGTAGCTGCAATTTCAAATGGTATGGCGGTGGAAGACCTCACAGAGAGAAACTGAAACTGCTGGGGATCAATTGAGAAACTATTCAGTGTAATTCAAATCTCAGACACAGACTTGCTTGGGCTGGAATTTCCTGGGCTTTGCTCATCTCCACTGAGACATTAAGTCTCCTCCCCCAACCCAGTCTTTTGTGGTGATCCCAGCTCCTTTCAGTTGGAGGCAAGCCTCTGGAGGGAACTGACCAGCTCCAGGCAGCTGCTGTGAACTTTTTGTTAGGAAGCCCTGTATATAAACTGAAAGTGGGTGAGAGGCAGTGAGGGAAACTGTTATTTTCACAAACTTTTTCTTCATCTTTTTGTTACCCCCTGGAAACTTCCCTGTCCTCTACCCTCTCCAGACCATTGCCCCCCATATCCTGAGTCGTTTCCTATCCAATTTTATTCCCGGGGTCTTCTCTTTCTCCTCCAATGAGCTGCTAAGCCCACTTGCTTCTTCACACTTCTCCTATCAGATGTCACCTTGCTGAGAAAAGGTGAAATGATTATCATTTTAGGGGGAACAAGTGCGGTGAGTTACAAATATAAGTGTATATAAAACTTTTGTGTTTATAACTTTAGCTCCTGCTCTTGCTGGAAATTGTTGACCTTTGCTGGTCAAAGGGAAGAGAACCATAACTAAATAGTGCCACCTGTTGTAAGAAGTATGGTAAAGTAGCCCTTAGTAGTTTTAGGTTTTAATAGATTCTCATGCATTCTTTGTTTAAAAACAGCTTTATTGATACATAATTTACATATTACAAAATTCACCCATCTTAAGTGTACAATTCAAGGACTTTTAGTAAATTTACAGAGTTGTGCAACCCTCACCACAATCCAGTTTTAGAACAGTTCCATCACCCCGAAAAGATCCCTTACTCCCCATTCTCTTCTATTGTCCCAGATAACCATGAATCAGCTTTCTAATCTATAGATTTGCCTTTTCTGGACATTTCACAAATGGGATCTCATATATTCTTCTGAGATAGCATGGAGAAGAAAAAATCCTTTCCCTTATTATTAGCACCTGGCAATGGAGGAGGCTGATAGCCACCAACACCTAGCACTTAATAGGAGACAGCGGAGTGAGGAGGTTGAATCCAGCACTTACTAGAACATGATCTTGAGAGAATGCTTTAATGTTTAAGTCTTTTCCTCTATAATGATGATAATAATCAACTGAGAGTTGTGTGTATATGGAAATATTCCATAAGCAAACACAGTGCTGTGTAAATGTTAGTTATCATGGGTCCTGAAATGTTTTCAGAACAGTTTGTCTTCTTTTAAGGAATGGAGAGGAAGAAAAAGAAGCTTTGAATGTTGCATTCCCAGTTAGGCAGGTGGCCTAATGAAGCTGATGGAAAGTAGCCTTTGGGGAGAGTTCTTGATCATGCCCAGCGGCAGCTGTTGAGATAACTTGGGGGTGGGGATGTTTTGTGAGTTCCCTCCCCAGTGAATTCACCTTTACAAATGTATTTACAGGGGAATCATTTTAAACAAGTTGTTGATGGTATTTGTTCTACCGGATTTCACCACGGGTAGACCTTGTGGCCATCCTGTCAGCTCTTACTTGATTATTCCATAAATTGTTTCTTAGTAAGCAGATGGTAAATTTCACTGAATCATGCTACTCAATCCTGATTAGGAGACAGTTTTAAAATGAAAGCATTTGGTTGCTGTATCTCCCCCACTAGTCATTTGCTCTCAAGAAACTGAGGGTAGTTCTGCATCACTTTGAAAAGGTCACACTTTCTATTCTCAGCGTTCACTGGGTAGTAGGAGATATTGAACAGAGGGCAGGTGGTAAAGCTGTAGAGTTTTTCTGCTCTTCCTTGTATTGGATCATGACTTTTCTTAGTTTAATGTGAGGTGAAATTCCCAGAACATTAGACCCATCCAAGTTCAGATAAAAGCATAAAACATTCCAAAGCAAATTAAAATATCATTTCACTGTTTGGGATTATTTATATTTCTTATCTGTGCTATTGCAGTTTCTTCCATAACTGAGCTTCCTGTTTCCACTAATGCCTCTTTCTTACCAATCCATTTTCCATAAAGCTGCTGGAGTGATATTCAAATCATGTCACTCCCTTCCTTTACCCTCCAATGGTTTCCCATCACATTTAAAGTAAAATCCAAATTTTATTTATTATATGAGTGGCCTGCAGCTTGCTCATTACTCCCTATTTCAGCCACACCACTTTTTCCTGCTCTGGGGCCTTGTAACTACTCTTTCTGGAAGGACTCCTTTTTTTTTTTTTCCCCCTGGCTTTTTGTGTAGCTGGTTTCATTCCTTAACTTCACTACTGGTAATAGAGTTTGGAGCCTATGGTTGTAAAGGAGAACAAGTTAAGATCAAATTAAATACCTTATGAAAAAAAAAACGCTCAGACCTCAGGGCAGTGACAGTATATTATGTTATTCATCTGGGCTTATTTATATGAAATTTTCTTACATGTTTTTGCTTTGTGGGAGAATTTTTTTTTTTTTTTTTTGCGGTACGCGGGCCTCTCACTGTTGTGGCCTCTCCTGCTGCGGAGCACAGGCTCTGGACGCGCAGGCCCAGTGGCCATGGCTCACGGGCCCAGCTACTCCGTGGCATGTGGGATCCTCCCGGACCGGGGCTCGAACCCGTGTCGTCCCCTGCATCGGCAGGCGGACTCTCAACCACTGCGCCACCAGGGAAGCCCAGAAATATTTTTTATGGAGAGAAAATTCCTACCTACTTCCTCCTTATTTGCTGAATACATGTTAGGATCTGCCCTTACTTGTTTTCTCACTTTTAACCAAGTTTAATGATAGTTGCTAACACTTTTGTGTGCCATGCATTGTTCTAAGTGTTTTACATGAATTAACTCATTTAATTCTCATAATAATCATATTGTGTGGAAAGTACTATTTTCCTTACTTTACAGAAAAGAAAATAGACATAGGGGATGATTAGAAAGTGGTAAAGCCAGGATTTGAACCTGGAAAGTATGGCCCCAGAGCCCTTGTTTCTAAGTACTACCTTATATTAACCTCTTTTATCTGTTTTCACCTTCAGTTTCAAATCTGCCCATCCTTAGATTGGTTCCCACCTTGATGCTAACTATGTCTGGACATCCCTGATGTCCTTGATGCTGGCAACCATGTGTCATCTTAGAGTCTAGACCATAATGGTCAACATACACCTTAAATGCTTGCTGGCAATGCTGAGATGGAGAAGAAGCAGTTCCTGACATTGGGAAGCTCATAGACTTGTTAAAAGAGGCAGTTCTATTGGTGAATCAATGGTAGAATGGCATGCATGAGAGCTAGGAGAGCCCTGCCCTTCACTCCCTGTGGACTCCCTGACTACACACAGCCTTTTACTCAGTCCATTTGTCTTGTGCTTCCTGTCTTCGGCCCCTTGCCTGGCTATGATGGCCTGTCTTGCTCTGAGTGATGGATGTATCAGGGTCCCCACAGAATACATTTAGCGCACTCCAAGGGTGTGGCCAGAGAGCGTTTAATGCAGGGACATTTACAGAAGTGTGAATAGGATTAAGAGAACCAGGAAGGGATGATGCAGCACCCGAGACCAGCAACAGCAGGGAGACATTACCCCTAGGCCTGAGGGCCAGGGGAAGGAGTGGGGTACCCGACACCGAGGAGAACGGGAAGAGTGGACAAGGGGCTGCCTGGTAGGAGCTCTGCTGTAGAGGGATGCAGGCACCAGAGTCATGGTGTGGTTGTTCTGCTGGTGACTTCCTTGGGAACACTGACTGGAATTCCAAGAACAAGGGGGTTTGGGGAGTGCAGTTCTGAAGAGGTCAGCCTCCTGCAGTTAGAACAAGTTCAAGAAGACTGGGGGATGGATTGGGAGGTGAGGGTGGGTTTAAAGGGAGAATAACCAACAAAACAGATAACTTACCACCCCTTCCTGGTTACTTCTCTGGGTTCATCTTTTATGCCTGTTTCTCTGACCTGTATTAATTATTTATTAATTAATTAATCCATCCATCCTAAGCACTTAGTGTGCATAAGATCTTTGTTAAACCTGGGAGGCTCTAGAAATAACCGGTCTTGACCTGAGGGAATTCACAGTTAATGGCTGATGTTCCCAGCCCAGCTTCAGCAGTCAGATCCCGGTGTTCCTGGCTGTTTCTGTCTTCCATCATTATTCCCAGGAAACAGTGTCTGTTAGCAGTTGTAGGCCCCTGTCAATAAGTATTTCAAGGGTACTGTACCAGTGAGGGTTCTTTCATTTACAAGTGACAGAAAACTCAAGTTGGCCTAAGCAATAAAAACAAAACAGAGTGGCATTTACTGGCTCATTACTGGGACTGAAGGGTGCGAGGGTATTCTGGCTTCAGGCTTTGATTCAGAGGTCTGATAGCTCTCCTTCAAGGTGGCATTGTTGTTAGGTTCCTTGTGGTGGAAGGATGGCTGCCAGCAGCTCCAGGCCCGTCTCTTTCTCACAGAAAAAATAGAGGTCCTTCACCTCCCAGACTCAGCAGAAGTCTCCTTGCATCTCTGAACTGTTCCGAGACGGGACTGTGACCTTTCAGGAGCCGGGGCACTGTGATGCTTCAAGGGGCAGGAATGAGTCATGTGCTCATCCTGGAGCCAGGGGAGGACTCAGTGCCCCTGGAAGCCCTTATACTAAGGGAGATGGAGGGCGTGGATGCTAGGTGGTGAAAACAAGAGGTACTAAAGGCAGATTAGGATATACCTGAACCTGCTATGGGTAAGTTTTCAAGTTCTTTAATTTGCTCACATCTAAGCCTAAACTAGACCAGAGACACTTAGGATTTTTAGATGTTAATTCTGTCTCTAAAAGTGTACCTGCCTATTCATGTTCTTTCTCACCCTTGCCTTCTCTCTTTTAACTAGAAACTAGAACATAAAAGACCACCCTACACAAAAGATACTTTAAAGTAGTATCTTTAAATGAAAAAAGAAAGCATTGAATGTACTATTTGTGTGGATTCACCTTATAGCTAGAAAGCAGGAGGAGCAGGGCCCATCTTATTCAACCATTATTTTTTCAGGCTCTTTGAAGTGGAAATCTAATTTTTTCACTCAGTCGATTTGGCATTAAAGGATCCCAGAATTGGGTTCCATTAGTCACGCACTTTAATCTTGGTGTTGTACATATGGACTTTAGAGTCAGACGGAAATTCTGGCTCATACAGTTGCAGAGCCATATGCACTTGGTCAAATCAGTCATCTCTTGTGTGCCTTAATTTCTTCATGGGAAAATGGACAGTAAGTACCATTTACTGCTAAATTGTCTCTCCCTTTCACACCTATATCTTTACACGTACATCCATATCCTCTATGCATATACATGTATAAACTCTCATTTAATCCTTCCAACAACCCTGTGAAGGCTAGATGATACCTGTCTTACACATGAGGAAATAGGCTCAATGAGAGAAGTAACACGCTTATGTTCAGACAGTTCGTGTTGGTGGAGCTGGGATTTGAAATTAGCTCTGTCACATTCCCAAGCCTGTGTGCTTAGCTGTTGTACCAAGCTGTCTTGGTGACAATACCTCACAAGAAAATTAGATGGTGCAGTGCATGTAAAGAACCTAGCATGGTGCGAGTTCCCAGGCTAGTTGGGTGGAGAAGTCTGCAGATGCATGATAGTCGGGTGTGATGAACATGAGGGTAGGTATTTCTCCGACAGCTCTGCAAGAGTCCTGTCTGCACTTACCCACATTTGTGGACTTAGGCATGCCACTTAACTCCCTTGAGTCTCCCTTTCTTCATCTGTAAAAAGGAGGTGATAATATCTAGCTTGCAGTTCTGTTAGCAAAGTTAAATGAGGTAACATACGTAAATTCCATTCCCCCTTTCACCCCTACCTGCTATCCCCATTTCTTTGGTTTGGAGGAATTCACAGGGTATGAAAGAGTTTGAAGTTTTGAAACCTGTATTAAATTCTGTCTTCTTCATCTGCTACTTGTATGATGATTCCATGGTACATAACCTCCATGAGTTTTGTTTCTTTTATTTGAAAAGTGGATCTTCAGATACCTAATCTGTAAGGTAGAAAAAATAAGATACTCTATGTAAAGTGCTCCCTACCTGTTTTCCTTACCTGTCCCACTTCTACCCATTCTTCAAGGTCCATCTAAAGTCAAAAGAATCAAAATCAGAACCCCACCTTCTCCGTGAGGGCTTTCTTAATGACTGCAGCCCCAGCCTACACCATTCTTCCTAATTCTCGTTGTACTTTTTTCTTTACCACCTCCTGTATCCATTAAATTTACCAAACGCAATTCTAGAGATGGGAAGCACTCCATAAGGAAAATCACAGCACTAAGAATTTTGTTTTTTTAAATCAGATAATAGAAATGTTAAAATAAGATTGAAGTGTATTAAATAAGTGCTAAATATCCTACATTTTTTAACTTCAGGGATTTAAGGCTGCTTGGTAAAAGCTGCCTTGTAGGGGAAATAATATAGCAGGGGAAAAACTAGTCTTTCTTCTTATAAAATTGTGAAAGAGAATTTTCTGGCACCTCTTGAAATAACTGGGGGTATCTGGAGAGGTGACTAACCCCGAATTAAGAATTTCAGATCCAGAGATAGCATTGCACACATTTTGCTTATGAATATTTTATTTTGTGTTGTATAATAAACCCTACTCTTGGATTTATTTATATGTAACTCTGTTGCTTTTTTAAAATATTTTAGATGGAGCAGATTAAAAGGGCAAATAAACTGTTTACCAATGATTGTATATTTCTGAAGAAAACTTTGAACATCCCAGTTATATCAGAGAAGCCTTTGCTGTTTAATGGACTTAACTCAATAGATTCTCCAGAAAATGAAACAGTTGATAGTTTTTCTCACGAAGAAGACCTGGTAGCGGCTGGGGAAGACCTTTCCTCTCCCAGTCCTCAAGAATCTGATGCTCAGCCCATGCAGCCCGAGGAAGTGTCAGCCAGAGATTTCCTGCAAAGGCTGGACTTGCAGATTAAGTTATCAACGCAGGCAGCCAAGAAACTGAAGGAAGAGAGCAGGTAAAAATATGCTGGAAAAATGTCAGAGGCTGAACAAACTACTCTTAAGATGTCCTTGCTTGGTCAAATTCTCTTTTCTTTTTTTGCTTTAAAAGGTAGATTTTCATTCTAGACGGGCTTTTTTTTTTTTTTTTTTTTTTTTTTTTTTTTTGCGGTACTCGGGCCTCTCACTGCCGCGGCCTCTCCCGTTGCGGAGCACAGGCTCCGGACGCGCAGGCTCAGCGGCCATGGCTCACGGGCCCAGCCGCTCCGCGGCATGTGGGATCTTCCCGGACCGGGGCACAAACCCGTGTCCCCTGCATCGGCAGGCGGACTCTCAACCACTGCGCCACCAGGGAAGCCCTAGACAGGCATTTTTAATGTATAAAGTCTAAACAGAGCTACTGCATTCTGCATAAAGCTTTATCTGTTGCAATGCTTTTGTTTTTGTTACTTCGTATAAAAAGTTTACTTCTTTGCTTTAATAGCATAACTGTCCAGCTAGTAGTTCTGGAGAGCATCCAAGTAGACATCTAGTTGACACCGTCAGAGGAAGCAGTGCCCTATAGATTACTTGTAAAATACTGTTCTTTATAAAACTTGCCAGACAGTTATTACTTGTTACCAGGTGTTTCCTATATAAGATCTCATGTGAACTTTTTTTCTTTGTTCTTTAATTTGGTACTAGGGCAAAACTTTCTCTCTCCTATAGAATTGGTTTCCTTCTTCCTTTATCATTCCAAGAATGGCACAACCTATTGTGTTTTCTTTTTTGCCCTGGCTACCAGGAAGCTCGCAGCCAAAACTGGTCCTCAGTTCAACTACTACAATATTGCTGATGGTTAATATATTTGTATCCTTCTCCTTTCCTTAGTCGTGATTTTTAATTTCTATTTTATTCATAGTATATGTATGCCTTTTGTTGTAGGTACCTCAAATCCTTTTGAGAAAGAGGTAGAATATTAAAAATATAGACAAATATAAATATGAATATAATTAATTTATAATTTAATATAAACTTATATAATATAAACAAATACAAATATATAACAAGTACCATTCTTTATTCCAATAACTGAGACACCAGTAAAATGGGGACAATGAAATATTCCTTAGTGAGTGTTTGCATTTTGTACAACTTTCAAGGCATGCATGATATTATAAGTTGATATAACTCCTGCCCTTCTTTGGCAAGTGGATATTAAGTTGTATAATGAATATGTGTGTTCGTTTTCTGAGTACAGTTTTTAAACACTGATTTATGCTGTGTTTCTTTTTTTCAGAGATGAAGAAAGTCTCTTTGCAGCTTCCCTCTATCACAGTTAGATGATCGGGGGCATAATCTAACCTGGGTTAAGAGATGGTTAGATCATAAAGAAACCAACAACTGATGATTCAAAAGCATCCCTTTTGGATTCTCATAGCATACATCTTTAAATCACAATTAAGTAGTTCCACCTACAGCAATTGCACTGAAGTGACTAGCTCCCTCTGGCTTTCCATGATTTTCAGTCTTTATTATGGCATGACAGCAAAATTGTATCTTAAAGCTCATCACTTTTGCAAGCGGTGGTAGTTTTTAGACTAGCTTTTGTAAATACTAGTTGACATAAAGCCACAAAGACTGTTTACATATTCAAGGTAAAAATGTTTATTTCCTGAGAAATCCTAATTATGTGAAAAACATGGTTGCTGTTTAAGTGATGCTGATTTTGCTATGTGTTTATAACTTAAGTGCTATATATATATATATATTTCGATATGTATTACATATTCTGTATTACTATAAAGAAACAAATTTTGTCTGCTATTTTGTAAAAATAAACTCCAGAAGTCTGAATGAGAAAATAAACTATGTTTTCATATTTTAGTCTTCAGTTTTTTTCAACAAATGGGAATATTAAATTGATTTTTAAATTATAGTTTTAAATGGTGACAGCTTCTCCTCTACTTTAATGGTCTTTATTATTATTACTGTAGTTTTGAAAAAGGTTTCAATAATCTAAAAGCAAATACATTGCAATTACTAGTAACCTTTGCATTTAAATAATATCTGACTTGGTGTGTTTCAGATATAGTGAAAATATGGAGTATATCAAAAGAAGAAGTAAACAACACCATGACTGGACACACTGGTGAATTTTAGCTTAGATTTCATTGATAAGTCACTTTATAGAATGTTTTACAGCATTTTACAGTCAAATGCTCATTTGAATTGAAGGGTTAGGTTTTTATTCACATAATTTGTCTTAGTTTTTTATATGTACAGGTTACAGCAGTAAAGTTTAAGAAATGTATTATTTGCAATTAAAGTTTTTTGATCTCCATTTCTATTCAAGTATCAGGTTAAATAAATCTTTAAGCTTCCACAAAAATTCCTTGTATTTATCCCTCACCAACATCCCAAAAGGAGTCTGCGTTCTGTGGGGCAAGAAGGACCTTGTTTCCCTTCTCTTCTCCCTTTTCTTTTTCCTCATTATCTTCTCCCTGCCTTGCTCCTCCAAGTCTTCCATTAAGCAGGAAACAAGTGCCCTTAGATGTTGGTGCAGCAGAACTTGTTGAACCAGAACTGCATATATCCACCCCTTGAGACTAACAGGGACATGAATGGGAAAACAGTAGCTGTTTGCCCATGTCTTGAATTTCTTGTTTGTTCATAACGTCCACAATCCCTTGTATTTTGGGGTTTTTTCCTCATTATTTTTTCTCATGATAACCTCTGTTTTTATTTCTCATGTTTCTTTTTCCTAACGTTATTATCATCTTTGCTATAGGGTGATCTCCTTGTCATGCTTTGCTATTTTCTTGTATCCATCGCTATCTGAACTATGGGGAGGTCGTTGGAAAAGCAGAAAGCTAAAAGAAAAAAATAAAGGAAGGGAAACAGTTGTGTATGTAAGAAAAGGTCAAGGTCTCTAAAAAAAAGTCCAGGGATTTTTTTTTTAATGTTAATAGTTTTTATGCTATTTAACATAAAATAATCTGAAATTTGAGAGTAATGCAAAAGACACAAATCCAAAAACACTATCCAAAAGACATAAGTTCAAATTTGAAATGAAGACCACAATCTCAAAAACATTTTTCTGAGTCTTTTATTTTTGCCTAAGGTCTCTCTTAGCAATTCCTAGCCAAAACATCTCTTCCCTCATCTTCAAGTTACTAAAAACTGATTTCACTGAGACCACAGTTGAAACGTCCTGGACTAGAGTTCTTTAGTCGCTGCCTTGCACACGGAAGTGCTGTGGAGGAGGGAACTAGGACAAGCACCTGGGTTCTAATCCTGGCTTTACCACTTCTTGGCCATCAGAGTTTGAGCATGTCCAGTGCTCTTTTTTTTTTTTTTTTTTTGTGGTACGCGGGCCTCTCACTGTTGTGGCCTCTCCCGTTGTGGAGCACCGGCTCCGGACGCGCAGGCTTAGCGGCCATGGCTCACGGGCCCAGCCGCTCCGCGGCACGTGGGATCCTCCCGGGCCGGGGCACGAACCCGCGTCCCCTGCATCGGCAGGCAGACTCTCAACCACTGCGCCACCAGGGAAGCCCCCAGTGCTCTTTTTGTGAACCTCATGTATGAAACAGGACTGAAGAGCTCCCTCTGTCCTGCTTATTAGTAGGAGCTGAGGAATGTCAATGTGCTCTGAAAGCTACAATGAACTCCCTTAGTAAATGTCTTATTTTTAAAAATACTGCATATTTAGATAAACTATAGAAAAGTGAATGGATAAAATGCTTGAGTCATAATCATCTAATTCTCTGTAATGCAGAAGCAGCGTGTTTGGACTACAGGCCATGATGAAGTCGAGTCAGCCATGTTATCAAAGATGACTCATGCAAACAGTCTGACTCATTGTGCTTTGGCAAGTATAGTTCCAGCAAAGACGTTTTTAGTTCGCTCTCACCATTCACCAACGTGTATTGGCTTCTCTAGAACATACTGAGTTTTGTTTCTGTGTGTGTCAGGCTGTGGTTTTTGTTTTTGCAATTCTAGAGAGAGTAGAGAAGAGCAGCAGTGGTCTCCTCCCTGTGAAAACAGCCTCTTGTAGCTTTCCTGTATGTTCCCCGGTCCTCACCAAAAACTGAATATGAGGTAGAGACGTTCAAGACAGGTGTCAGAAGCCATCTGAAGTAGTGCCAGCTGATATACATAGTATTAAGTTATTTTTATGATTTTCAACTGAAGTGTATAGAAAAATATTTATGTACTTAATTTATACTGAATAATACATTTTCAAAGCATTAACATTTCCGGAGGACCTTGGGTCACTGTGTGTTGTTTCCAGGACTGTGTTGGTGGTGGTGGCTGAGGAAGAGGGGTTGCAGGGATCTGACATTCTTTAACTTTGTCCTCTAGGGGAACTTGTCTACCAGCTTGGTTCACAGGGGAGGGAATGATTTTTATCTCTATATCTACCCTACTTCCTGGCCCTCTTGCTCTCTGTTGAGAAACCTTGGCTTGGATCAAATTCCGTTTAGATAACTCAGACCTGGCATCAATTTTTGTCTTGCTTTATGTAGCGTTTATGACCTCATTTGTCTTGGAAAGTACATAGGTAGTATCCCTCTTAAGAGAAAAACTCAATGTCTGAAAACTCACTAATAGAAAATGTTGAGAGTGGGGGGGAATTGTTAATAAATCCAGCAAATCCTATGCCCATTTTTCAGGTTCCTTTCTGTGCCTTTGGGCCTGATAAAGAGCCAGCAGGAGCAGGCAAAAAAGCAGATGGCTGTACTTTAAGCTATAGAGGCTATGAGGAAATGTGAATTTATTTAAACTCCCCAAAGGGAAGAGGTATGGAAATGACATCTTATAACAGAGATATCCTACGAGGTGCTTTGGTACCCGGCATGCCTTGAAAACAGAACCCCCTAATTCTTCAGGGGGTGCTTATATGTGTGACACAGTGGGATGAGGGTTCAGTTTTAAGTTCAGTCCATTACAGGCTTTTCCAAAGCAACATAGATCTGCTTATAAAATGTAAATCTATAAGGAAATAAGGATTCTATATACAAAATCTCAGCTTACATACAACTTTACTTTTTGGATAGTTTTATGGCAAGAAAGCTATGTTTTAACCACTTCTAACAGATTAACTACTGTAAATTCAGCACTTTCTAATAATCCTTGGGTCAAAATAACTTTAATCACAGAATTAGAAGTGTTTTAAGCTACGCTATGTTTTCTGAAACAGTTAAAAGACTCTTGGGTCATTTGCCATTTTTACAGGGTGCTGTAAATACGCTTAATGGCGTCGGCTTCTTCTTTATCAAGGATGCCTTTTTCCACATAAGCATCAGCTTGTTGGTTGATGAAGTCCCTCATCTTTGAAAGGTCATAATCTGGAAAATATCATTAGAGTATCATGAGCAAAGATAAGGAAAGCACAGCCCATTTCAGTGATTACCATTAACGAAGAAGCATTTTGTAGAACATCATTCCCATGCCCTGTCTTTCACGTTGGAAGGCATTTTAGTTCTTGGCGTTTGTGCTGTAGTTTGCAGCTTCAAATCATGTTTACACGCATTATGTTATCCCACCTGCTCTTCATCACAACTTTTCGAGGTGTTCAGATGGGGAGAACAGCCTCTCATTTGACCAGAGAGGGAACAGGCTCATAAACCAGGCCTTGGCAGACTTTAATATTTATACCAATCACCTGGGGCTTTTGGAAAGTTGCAAATGTGTATTCAGTAGGCCTGAGGTGGTGCCCCAGATTCTGCATTTTAAACAAGGTCCAGGAGATGTTGATGCTGCTGGCTCAGGAAACACACTTGGGGTTACAAGACCCTAAAGCTTAAGTGCCTTATTCAAGGTCACGCCGCTAGTAAAAGTTATATATATATATAAAAGTTATAATCAGAACCAGGTGTTCTGACTTGAACTTGTTACACTGGTTAAGCCCATGTTGCCGTGACAACCCACTTTTTTTTTCCGCATTAAGAATTACCTTGATTTTCATGTTGTTTGAATTACATGCATGGAGTGAAAAACGAAACCATAACCTCTTTGTGGTTCCTCTGTCCGACTTAAACAAAAAAGTTAGGTAAACCATTGAACCGTCCACAAAAAACCAAGAGATCCTCAACCAAGTAAGGAGGGGGCTGGTGGCATCTTTCTGAAGGCTTGAAAAAAAAACCCACATCTTCCCTTGATTCTTTAAGTGTTATATGCTTATTGTTTTAAAATATGGAAAATACAGAAACATGAAAATAAAATTGAAATCACCTGAATTCTATTAATCATTGATAACCAGAGTGGATATTTTGTTCTGTTTCCTTTTAGCTTTTGGATGTATCTTTCTCAACACAGTTATGATCACAGCGTACATTCAACCTTATACCTAATTCCTTTCACTCAGTTTACACAGTGAGCATTGATATTCCTCAGAAACACCATTTTTAGTGGCTGCATACAATACATCCTATGGAGGAGAAAGGAGAGAGGGGGATACAAAAACTCAGAGCATTCTATGGCCACCTTTAGCTACCCTGAGTAGAAGCTGAACCTGGGTCACTCGGGCATCTTTAAGCCCCTGCATGAAAGGAAAACCAGACTTGAAGGACCGCTGTACAGGCACCAGGTGTTTATCATACCGTGGTGAGCTGAGGCTCAGAGAGAGATGTTTTCTCTCCACCCAGGAGGGCATTTGCTCCTTTCAGTTTGGGCTCGGCCATGAGGATCGAAGTGAGAACTCCCAGCCCTGGACACTTTACAGCCATCATCTTATTTGCTCCTCACAAAACCCCATGAGGAAAGCATTACTGTCCCCGTTTCAGAGATGAAGAAACAGGACAGAGGAGGTAAGTCACTTGCTCCGGTCATAATAGAGTCAGGTTCTGAATTCAGGTCTGTCTGTAGTCACTGCCTTGACCA